TATATATATATATGTGTGTGTGTGTGTGTGTGTGTGTGTGTGTGTGTGTGTGTGTTTGAATTTTAACATTTTATTTAAGATGTAGTAGCATGAGAAATAGTCTAATAAACCGTACACCTAGATGAGTGGATGTCCTAGTTTAACTAGGTATGGAAAAACAAAAACAAAAAAATATATATACAAATCAGGAACAACAGCATCAAAAGTGGCATCCATAAATTCCAATAACTATTAACACCCAACTAAACCAAGTCACCAAAGCCTATTTTAATTCCCATTATGAGGTTCCGGTAGTTACCCTGGACATAGAGCCACTTAACATTTTTATCTTAAAACGAAAAACATCCTCAGCAAGAGATAAATTAAAGCTGCTCGCTTAATGAATGTGGGTTTTATTTTACGGCGATATCCACTGGACCCATTTTACAAGAACTGTTGCTAATCCAGACCACCTGGTTGTCTTTCAAAAAAAGCCCTCTGTTTTAGAAGTGAAAACCCCGAGAACAGAAAATCTAATTAGTTTTGTGGTGAGAGGCTGTACCCACTGCAGCGCACGAATAGAGACTCAACATGTTTGAAGGTTGGTTTCAATCGTTGACATCGCACGCAGAAGGCTGAAACAGACGGACGGGATTCTGATTGGCCCATCCTACCGCCAATAAGGAATATTTCTCTTCTAACTTGTCAGCGGCATCTTTGAGGATAGTGACGCCCACTTACAGCGGTTCTACAGACAAAACACAGAGCTGTTTTTGGACCAATTGGATTGAACATCTCCGTTTCGTCCAAAAGAGGGAGTCAAGTTTCTTATGCAGCAGTTTTTCCCACTTTCACAACACAACTCCAGAGCGCACTGACCGGAGAGAAAAGGGGGGGTGAGAAATATTACTTGACAACAACTGTTTTCTCTCACAGTGGCTACGGAGACTCATAGGCTCATAGGCTTTCTGCTGTGGGAGCGTCAGTCCGTGGGTCAGTTTGCCCTTGAGCCCTCACCTTGCAACTTTACTGTCTGTTTGCTGCAGCAGAACAACAAGCGGGTTCATGATCTCCAGGGAGCTCCCATTTTTTCCACACCTGGATTAACCTTTGGCGACGTTTTCTTTTCCTTCTTCTTGTGTATTTTTTTTCGTACGTATTTGCAACGAAGAAAAGGAAATGTTGTGGAAACTAGCTGACAACGTAAAATATGAAGAAGATTGTGAGGTGAGTATTAAAATACTATTGTTTTAAATCAACTCAAGGTGAGCGAAAAAAAAAAGTTTGGTTTTCAAATACAAGGATTTTTAGGCGAGGTTGAGGAATTTTTTTTTTGTCTTCCATGTGCGAACAAGAAAGAAAAGAAAACACAAAAAGCGTTATGAAATTAACATAATATAAAATAACATTGGGTAAATATTAATACAATAATTTCAGTATTTTAAACTTTTTGCTCAATAAAAAAAATTAAATAATAATAATAAAAAAATATATATATATATAATTTTATTAGAGTAAATGTTAAATTACAACCATCCTTTAAACAAGTAACGAATAAATATTGATATAGCCTATTACCTAAGGTGCACTGGACTGAAACTTTTATTGGAAAATCTTCTGGACATAGGATGCCCGACTCTTATAATTCAAATAAATTATAAATATGATCCCAATTTCTCTAGGCTGTTTGCCATATTTTTCAGCTGATTTTTCTCTTCTGTCTTCCAGGAAAGGCACGATGGCAACAGCAATGGGAACCCCCGGCTGCCTCACCTGCCAGCGGTCAGTCAGCACCTCTACAGCCCCTCTCCTTCTCTATCCCACTCGGCTGGTTCCGACTTCCAACCCCCGTATTTTCCACCTCCATACCAGCCCATCTCCTACCCACAGCCCACCGACCCTTATTCCCATCTCAGCGACCCGTTCAACATTAACCCCATTCATCAGTCGCCTTCGTCGAACCAGCAGCAGTCCTCCTGGCCCGGCCGACAGAACCAGGACGGGCTCGGCAGGAGCGGACTGGCGAGTCAAATCTTGGGCCTAGATGGAGGCTCGTCCGGGGTGAGAAGGGAAGGGTTCCGGCGGTCGGAGCTGTTGCCCCCACACAGTCTGGACTCTTCAGTTATTGGTGATAATATGGGGATTCA